GAGCGTGTGTGTGAGTGATCGTTTGGGGACAGTGGAGCGTGTGTGTGTTTCTGAGATTGTAGAGTTTGGGAGTTTGCATCTTTCTTGCTCTGCCTGGGAAGCTGCTGTGCTGCTACTTGAGAGTGACTAGGGCCTGAAGCTGCTGCCTTGTGTTTCTCTCGTTCCTCAGATCAACACGGTGCTGCGGGTGGGGAGGACACCATCCAGCTGACTGACGCCGATGAGGGATTCTCATCGGGGGCCTCCAGTATTAGCCAGCCCAGCGGCTCCAAGAGCAGCCTGAAGAAGGGCCCCCGGGATCAGGCGCTGCTGCTGCTGAGGGCTGAGGGAGCAGCCGAGTCTAGCCGGGACCCTGGCAGCAGAAAGCTGTGCCCGACCCGCTCCGCCGCCGACACCATGGATCTTGGTCCGGCCAAGAGACACCTGCCACCGGCCGCTGCCGCTGGGCTTGTGCGGACGGCCAGCACCTCCTCCACCAGGTCCTTCGAGCGGGCGAATGGGAGCCAGGCGCAGGACGGCACCTCCAACCTGGTGCACAGTAACTCCAACCGTTTCTCCACCATCAGCCTGCAGGAGGAGCGGCTGGGCCGGGCTGCCGAGGCCAAGGAGCTGCTCTCCCCGGGGGCACCTCTCACCAAACAGTCCCGGTCGCCCAGCTTCAACATGCAGCTCATTTCCCAGGTGTAGGAGGCCACTGACCCTCCCCCGCCACACCACACCTCCTCTCCCTTACCCCCCTCCCCCTTTCCTCTGCCCTTTGGGTAACATCCCCCCCCCCTCCCTCTTTTTAACCCCCATCCTCCCCATCCCATCCATACGCCCCCCCCAAGAATAAACCCCCTCCAATCTCAGCCCTCTTTAATTCCGACTTGACAATTATTTGTGAGGCAAGAAGGAATTATTTTGTGCTGGGAGAGCAATAAAAAAAAGGGAGCCTGTGTCTTCGCAGGCAGTGCAGACTTGTGTGTGTCCCTCCCTGCCTCCCCTCCCCCGGGTGATGTGCAATCTCTATTTTGATAATTGTCCTGACTGAGGAGGTTTGCTTGGAACTGATCTGGTTCAATCAGATCTGTCTGCCACAGGCAATCCTTCGACATTCCCAGCCTAGCCCTGATCTCGCCACTCCTCCTGCCACTAACCC